AAATATTATTATACCAAATTTCATTTGAATATTCTAAATTGTTAAAAAAATAGATCAGTAGCATATTTATAATACTAATACAGACAAATTTGCCTGCATTGGTCTACAATCTAAGGGATAGAGTATAGACACTATGTATAGCAGCAGTACTACAGAAGGTTAAAGTTACTGAAGATTACATGAGTAAGTCCTTGTAGACAGACAGTATCAATATCTTTATACTTCTAGTTTAAGCAACATCAACATCCCTGCACCCAACTTGTAGAGAACTTGATTAGGAGAGTAATTATCAGATTGCAAATATAAGTCCTAAACTAGTATTGCAGTACTAGATTTGATTGGAAGAGTGATACAACAGTAACTAAAAAAATGGTGTAGTGAAAGAAATGATAAACATGAGGATGATCTGTAGTAAAGGATTGACCTTATCAAATTTGAAAACACCTCTGGCACATGCATAGAAGGCTAAAATTAAAAGGTTCTAAATATAGAGTGATGGTCTTATTTAGGAAACATGTAAATATTCAAAATAACTAGGGCACACCAAGCTGGTAATACTATGTACAAACAGATATCAAGGGTATACCAACTTTATAATACCAACCAAGTTGAAATACCCAAGTTAGAAGTAATCATGATTATGAAATTCTGTTGAGAGTAACACTCAAATATTATGCAACATAGCCATACCTAACCAACTATAGAAGTTTCTGTTTGACAATATAAACACAACTTATAAGTACAAATAAATGATTATAAGAACCACAAAGGCAAGTATCTTAAAGAAAAATGAATAGTTCCAAAGAGGCATCAGTAGATAAAGACAAAGACAGGCTAGAGAGCTGTGAATTTGGATCTGAAGAGAAAGCTAACTAACTCCCACTACCAAATTAGAAAGTAACCCAGTTACGAGACCTTAGTTGTAATACCTATTTGGAAGTATATTTGTAGCTTATGTGAGTAATATGGGAAATATATATAGAATACTAATAAGGATAGTCAGAAGTGCAAAAAATCTCAGATAGGTTTAAACAGGTATAACCTTACTAGGTAGAGATTGGTGCGAGGATAAATTAGTCCTAATCTAATATAACATTAAATGATAAGTTGTAACCATAATTATACAGTTTATTTAATAAAGTTACAGCAGAAAAGCACCCACTCTTTAAATATATATATATATATATATTTTTTTTTTTTCTTTGAAAATGTCAAGAAAAAATTTCTACATCTCGTAAACACATTTTGGAATGCAAATCTACGCCAATTCCTATATGATACATAAAGCCCCTGTGGACGAATGCAGTTTCATCTCTCTTAATTTCATCAATTCTTCCACCAATTAGTAATATCTCAATGATTAAGTCATACTTTAAACTTTCTAAAAACTTCATTAGATATTTAACTCCCCCATCAGATAATCCAGGTGAATCAATGTAGAGCGATTTTATTTTCAGATATCTATTCTCTCCTAATGATGCTGAATCATAAATAATTAACTTGTACAAGTCATTTTCGATATAAGACACATTTTTAGGTTTAGACAATTTAATAAATTCTTGTATATGAGGTTGTAATTCATCTGCAGATCCTAAATAAATCCCATAAATATTGGGTTGAAGTTTAGGTGATATTGAGAAAGTTAAATTATGATGAAAATCATTCCCCAATTGATTTGTTATTGAGATATTCATGGAATCTGATCAAAATCATATGAAAAACTAAGACGAGTTACAATCTTCGGGATAGGATATATCCTGAGAGTTAAAGCTGTAACAATACCATAGCCTGCATTTCCTGCTTCTCGAATAACCAGAAAAGTTCCGGATATTCTTTTGCATTGCTAACTACTGTCCCATTTGCTAAAACAATTTGTGCATCAAGAATATTATCTGATGAATATCCAAATTTTCGACTAAGTTGACCTATACCCTGTAAGAAAAATAATATTGAGGTCTGTAATTTAAAAAAAATAAAATAAACAATACGTAATAAAAAAATTCAAGCAATACTTACACCACCCAATATATGCCCACTAACTCCAATAAAAGGACAAATTCCAGCTGGAAATGCAAATCCATGTCGGTTTATTATGTAATAAAATGGATTTAGCGTATTTCCTGTTTCGACTATAGCAGTTTGTGAAGTTGGATCAATGGTAATTTTATTCAAATTTACAAGATCAATAACTAAATAACAATCTTTATCTCCAATACTGTAGTCTTCAGTAGAATGACCACCTGATCTGGCAACAATTGGAAAATTTAATTTTGTTCCACATTTAATAGTATTTTGAATATCTAATATATCTACAGGATGAACAAATGCTACTGGAAAATGAATAAATAGTTTATTATATTCTACATCAAGATCAGCATTATAAGCAGAAAAGTCATCTCGGAAACTGACAGATCCTTTAATATATTGATCAAGGCACTTTCGAAGGAAATCTTCTTTTGGACATTTTCTAACCGGAAGAAGATATGTAGAAGCATAAATAGTTTCAATCAATAAAATTATAATGAATATATATGAAATCATTTGTAAAAAAGATTTAAACGTAAAATGGCTCCTCTTGATAATTTTATATATTATAATGAATATATAAGCATAGCGGGCTTTTATTGTGATTGGCTGATTTTTGAAGATCATCTTATCATAATAAAGTCTTATTAAAGTAAC